ACACTGACACGAATTTCCCCGTTCCCATCGATTGCTACAGAGCACTAGCCAGTCTAATCATCACTGGTATCGGATCTACGAGTCTGTTACTGTTTGTATGCACATTACCCCACAATCCCAGATCACTGTACCTCTACCCACTGTACACAATGTCTTTCTCCTCTCCAAGCGACGACTTCGGCCGGATTCTGTGACGACCCATGAAGCAGGAGGTGGAGCAGTTGAGTAATCAAGCCACCACGACGCCCTATACTCAATTTGGCCGAATTGAGTACAGAGAGCGTCTGTACAGTGGCAAAGTGGCAGCTATGTTCAGAATGACGCTTACACCCGTGATTCCCGCGTTCTCCTCAAAATAACCAATGAGAGGAAGGCATACAGCGGCCTACCCCACTCAACCAATCAGCGACGGTGTAGCACAGCCGTGTTGCACTAGGAAGTGATGTGGTGGAGGCTGACTCCATAAACAGTTTCAAATGTAGATATGATAGAGCCCAGTAGGCTCAGGAATCTGTACACCAGTTGATTGACAGTTGAGAGGCGGGACCAAAGAGCCAAAGCTCAAACCCCGCAAGCACAATTAGGTGAGTACAGCCCCTAGGGCAACTCCAAGATGGCCGACCAACATGGCGGCTCAAGATGTTTACTAAGATGGCGGCTGTTTCCATGACGACGACTCAAGTGGCCAGCACGGGAGGCCCACAGTTCACCCATGCCTGCGGCCTAGCTGTTCCTGAGTCTGAGTTGAGTCTCGCTCAAGCCATACAATGAGATGATGCTACCGGCATATCTCTGTCCACAGACGTGCTACCCTGCCAGGGTAACATTTCTGGACTGCTGATGACTGGGGCTCTCACATGAGCCCAAACACTAGATGTTTCGGTTGCTGGTTACCAAACTTAAGTCCGCCCACTTAACAAGTGCACTTAACAAGTGTATTGGCTCCCACAGGCATAAGAGCACTTTTGTAAGTGAGCTGGTGAACCATCTCCTCACATCAGGACAGAGCCTTGAGGCACTCAACTTACAACATTTTGCAACTCTGACTTAACCCCATTTATACTAACTCTGTTGCCTTTGGCATATGCATGCCCTAATCCATTTTAATAAATCTACGGTACAGATAGTATTGCTTAGGTTCATATATTAGGGGACTGGATTGCACTAGATTGCACTGCACTAGAAATTAGGTACTGGGATTTCGATAAGTCTGCAGGTAATGAATCCCCCAATGGTAAACATTCCAATTATGTTAAGAAGAGCTGGGACATACTCTCCAACACTATATCTGTAATTGCCCTGTTATAAGTGACTTCAGACCAAGTGGTATGAGGTAGCTTTGAGCTCTGTAATCACTTCATTCACTCAGGAAAATTGGAAGATATTCCTGCACTGTACCAGAGTGTGGTGTTGGAGGCTAATAGATCAGCCTTGCACTTAATGTTCTCTCCTGATTTTTAGTCAAACTTGATTTGTTTCTGTATTGAGGCTTGTGTTTTCTAACCTGATTCTATGTTTGACTAACCATCCTGTGAGATGGGAATATTAGATGAGCTTATAGCTAGCTTTTGATCTACACTGTGTAATATTTCATGTAGAATAGGGTAGCAGGTGTTGTTGTTGTTTAAAATTCAGCTACTTGGAAAAACAAGTTCCAAGTAGCTACGGTGAGCCCGTAGCGGACTTACGTGGCACAGAAGTATGGCTGTTGGCCGGGAAACAGCACATTGCTGTGTATATATAAGCAATAGGAGAGAGGTCCTAACATTTCCATCTTGATGACAGCACGAGTGATGATGTTGGGAGACGTATCGTGTCCAGAGTTCGTGTTGACGTGGTTATTTACAAAGATTGCGTGTTGTTTCTTAGAGTTAGACTTGATATGAGCACTTGGCAGTCAATGCTGGTGCTTCTTATTTATGATAGGAGAAGTTTGTCAAAGTTTTCTCCTCTATATGACTAATGAGTGGCAATTTTGAATTGAGGCGCCTGAGTGTGTGCAGTGTCAATACTGATCGACAGGTAAGGCTTGTGTGTTATTTCTTATAGAGTTATAATTGATGTGAGCATTTAATTGGCGGTCAGTGGTGGCACTTCTTAATAAACAATATATATTCTCACAGAAAACGAATTTATCATAAACTCATGTATTTGTCTTATAATATGGAAATGCATTCATAATAGATAACAATATGAATAGCCAAATTTCTGTGAATCTCCTACCATGTTGGAATCTGTGGAAATGAATGAGCAAATGTGTTGGCTGCTGAAGGTGCTGAAGGAAACCACATTGGATTCATTTTGGATACAAATGTCAATGGAGATTCAGAATGGAAACAATTATAGTTGAACATGTAGAGGAGTTTAAGAATCTGTGGTGAGAGTGATGGACACAGCCTTGACAACTATACTTCAGAGAATGTAAACATCTAAGAATCATTAAAAATATGTGTAGAATTATAAACCCTACATTGTTTGAGTTAGGGAAAACACCATTTGTCATATAGATACTGTTCTTAAAGATTTCCCCATTTTGCACCCGCAAGATAACATAAGGTTTTAAGGGTTGACGAATGTTAATCTTCTTGTTTGATAACCTGTGCACTTGAGACAGTTAATAAGAACACGCCAATATATAAGGCAACAAAAAGTTTTCAGAATCTTTCACACCACTAGCGAGCAACATTTACAATTTATATAAATTATTTTAAGGAATAATACATAAATTTTATATTTAAATATGATATTAATGTTTAGTGGAATGCATAAGGAGTCAAATTGTGTTAAAAAGAGCGATTTTTTTAAAATTTGGAAAACTACTTTTTTCTGATCATAGAATAACTGAATATTTTTTGAAGGTTTCATTCAGCCATTAAATATCATTCACAATTTATTAATGAATTTTACAAAAAACACCATAAATTTTATATTTAATCATGTAAAAACTATTTGTAATACAATAGGAACAAAATAGTTATAGAAAAAACATTTATTGTAAAACCTATGTGTTTGGATTTTTGGATTAAAACTTTCTCAAATGCTTTCCTGCACCAATCTCAATGCAAGTTATTCCTACACCTATGGGAAGAGTTAGATGAAAGTTTTCGATACGTTTCGTGTTTGCTGGGTTCATATGATCTTTACTATCACATCTTGTGTGTGTGTACTCACCTAGTTGTACTCACCTAGTTGTGCTTGCGGGGCTTGAGCTCTGGCTCTTTGGTCCCGCCTCTCAACCGTCAATCAACAGGTGTCAACTCTAACAGCCATTTGTTCGACCATTCCTGCAGCTTGTCCAGGTCTTCTTGAAGCCTCAAGCTGTCCTCCTCTGTCTTAATCCTTCTCATAATTTTGGCGTCGTCAGCAAACATTGAGAGGAATGAGTCTATACCCTCTGGGAGATCATTTACGTATATCAGAAACAGGATAGGTCCAAGTACAGAGCCCTGTGGGACTCCACTGGTGACTTCACGCCAGTCTGAGGTCTCACCCCTCACTGTAACTCTCTGATTCCTATTGCTTAGGTACTCCCTTATCCCCTGGAGCGCCCAACCAGTTACTCCTGCCTGTTTCTCCAGCTTATGCATCTACCTTTTATGGGGTACTGTGTCAAAGGCTTTCCAACAGTCCAAAAAAATGCAGTTCGCCCACCCTTCTCTTTCTTGCTTAATCTTTGTCACCTGATCGTAGAATTCTATCAAGCCTGTAAGGCAAGATTTACCCTCCCTGAACACATGTTGATGGGTTATCACGAAGTCTCTTCTCTCCAGATGTGTTACTAGGTTTTTTCTCACAATCTTCTCCATCACCTTGCATGGTATACAAGTTAAGGACACTGGCCTGTAGTTCAGTGCCTCTTGTCTGTCACCCTTTTTGTATATTGGTACTACATTAGCAGTCTTCCATATTTCTGGTAGGTCCCCTGTTTCCAGTGACCTACTATACACTATGGAGAGTGGTAAGCAAAGTGCTCCTGCACACTCTTTCAATACCCATGGCGAGATTCCATCCGGCCCAACAGCTTTTCTCACATCCAGCTCCAATAGGTGCTTCTTGGCCTCATCTCTTGTAATTTCGATCCTATCCAAGGTCACCTGGTTTGCTGCCACCTCTTCTAGCGCCGTGACATCTCCCTGTTCTATTGTAAAGACCTCCTGGAACCTTTTGTTGAGTTCTTCACACACCTCTTTGTCATTCTCTGTGTACCTGTCCTCGCCCACCCTAAGTTTCATCACCTGTTCCTTCACTGTTGTCTTCCTCCTGATGTGACTGTGTAGTAGCTTTGGTTCGGTCTTGGCTTTATTAGCTATATCATTTTCATACCTTTTCTCAGCTGCTCTTCTCAGACTGACATACTCGTTCCTGGTTCTCTGGTATCTCTCTCTACTTTCTGGTGTTCTGTTATTACGGAAGTTCCTTCATGCCCTTTTGTTCAGCTCCTTTGCTTTCATACATTCCCTATTAAACCACGGATTCTTCCTTTGCTTCTCTGTTTTTTCCTGTCGGGCTGGGACAAACCTGCTTACTGCCTCCTGACATTTTTGGGTGACATAGTCCATCATGTCTTGTACGGACTTGGTTCCGAGTTCTGTATCCCAATGTATATCTCATAGGAATTTATTCATTTCCTCATAGTTTCCCTTTCGGTACGCCAGCCCTTTCTTTCCCAGTTCTTTTTTGGGGGTTATAATTCCCAGCTCAACCAGGTACTCAGAGCTCAATACACTATGATCACTCATTCCCAAGGGGGCTTCCAATATATACTGTATAAAGACTCCTTTCTTTTATGAAAAAAAAATCCTAAGCACACTCGAAGCTTTGTAATGTTAGTCTTCAGAACTCACAATGGAAAACAACTGCTACAAAATAGCCCTGCATATACTTTGAAAACTTCTCCATTAAAAGATTCAAACAAAACTGTAATGCTTGCATTTGTTAAGAAATACTTTTTAAGTGTTACAAAAGCATCAATCACATCCACTCCAGCACATGACGTGATCTCAATTTATCCTTTCCTCAGGCACGGCCAGGAACAGCATCTGACACACATAGGTCACTTTATCTGAAAAATTAACACATCATTAATGCTAGTAAAAATCATTTAACTTAGTAATATCTTCACAGTCCTTAAAATACAAGATATTGGAATTCCTTTATAAAAAATAATCTTATAGTTTAATATCACTTAAGATTGTTAGTTCAAAACATGGCGAGAAACTATCAATATTATCAGTACTAATGGTAATAATAATAATGATGATAATTATAATAATTTTTATGAGAATACAAAAACTAATTGTAATTATTAATTATAATAAAAACCTAATAAGAACTATTATAACATCACCACCACCCACAACAACAGTGACATAATATTAGAGCTATATCATGTAAAGCGTACAACGCGTTCCAGCACTCATCACACGTTCCAGAGGTAACTGACCCATGGCGTAGAGAAGTTTATTGGGCTTATCCTGGCGGTGGATGGATAGGTAGTAGACTGGGATACCCGTGCCGATGACCACCAGCGCCGCTACCACCTCCAGAGGCTGGCGTATTACTGGAAACACCGTCAGGAATCCCATGATGATCAGGTGCATTATTGGGAATCCAAGCCACACCTTGAAGGAAAGGATATGTATACATCACATTAACAAACAGAAACTCAGATTAATTCGGGCTGAAAGAAAAGGAAATATTGTGTTTTACGGAACAAAATCTTAATCGAAATGCTGGACCAAAGGAGTATAGCGACCTACCACTCTAGTAAGACTAAATATCTCTTAAACTGTTATTAGAGGTAATATAAGCTGAGAAAGAGTGTATCCCCTCATAAAATATGTAGAAAAATGAGGTGTGCCTTGTTAAAATCACCTCTTTAAAATATTCAGGGAGAGGTCTATTTTCTAGTACAACACATGGAAAGACGGAGTGTACCTCAGAGATGGTTTGCTCTTCCAGATCAAACGAAGCACATAGGCTAATTATCAGGAAGTTTTTAAGAAAATAAGAAATTGTTTAATCAATACACACAGATATCACAATAGCGGGATACATCAAACGAGCAAGTCCACAAGGGCCGTGATGAGGGTTCGTCCAGGATGATCCCAGACGCGCCTTAGTCAATTCCGCCACGACATGGTCCAAAGAAATGCAACCAGGAGTGCTTCTGGCCTCGCACGGATCCCGCAGCCTCATCAAGACACAAAGAGTTTTACACAACTCCCCCATGCACATTATTTTGATCATGTCGTGGCACAATCGACTAAGGCGCGTCTGAGATCATCATGGACGTAGGTTCAAACCCCTCATCACGGCCGGTGTGGATTTATTCATTTGTTTTATCAAATTATACTGCTGTCCTCCCCTGAAAAATGTTTCATGATTTAATGGATTAAATTGAATATATATATATAACGCTTGTGGAAAAGTGTCCTAGATAGTTTCTCGGAATCTCATGATATATTTGCTTTCAAAGACAAATATTCAAGATCATTCAGTAGTGCTGAAATATTCATGATCTACAGTACAGAGGAGACATGTGAATCTGACTCAACTACAGCTGTCAATGAGACATGTTACCATTACGCCCCTAATGCTAAACATCTGCACTCAGTAATCAGTGAGATGGGTGTGTAAGCTGCTAGTAAGTTAAAAAGTGTTTGCAAAATTTCTTTTGCATTTACTGTAATCAACTTGAACCTGGGATGGATGAAATTGTCCATGCATTTCTCTGACTTTATATTCTGTATTAAATGAAGGAAAATAAATTATGGAATTACTCCAATTATTTAGAACTACCGTGCATCAACATCTTCTGAAATAACTTCATGAACATTAGTTAAAACATACTATAAAACAAGGATTTGACAATATACCTATTGACTTTCTATCTGATAAACTAAGAACTACTGTTGTTCATCTTGAAAACTAAACTACATGATGAAAGTACAAAAACCAAGTAAAGAAAAATGAATCAAAGAGTATGTAAGAGAACGAGAAACGTGTGGTGATAAATCTGATGAGCGGCAGAAAAGCAAGCATTCAAAAACACCGAAGCATCAATGCTGCGAACTGGCCTAAGATGCTCCATATCCACATGAAGAGGAGGAAGATGCCTTTGAATTACCAAGTGATCAGCCTTATCAGATGGGAGAGTGGGGGGGGGGGGGGGGAAATAGTGAGTCAAGTAGTATTCTCTTAAAAAAATCAGTGTCACAATGAAAGTTGAGTTAGATCTCAAAGTGGAAAGAGATGAGGAGCAAAATACGACATTTGTTAGTATTAGAGGTCTTCCTATTCCTAGAATATGCTTCCAATTTGGGAAAATAAATAAGTTTTTTTCATATCAGTGTTTGTGATGATGAAAACTAATACAGAAGAATCAGAATAGAGAGGGACTATAATATCATTTGAAAAGAAAAGTACTTCAGACATGGTCTGAAGAATGGCTTCTCGATTTTAATCCAGGCCAAAACAAAGTTCTGACAAGAGAAAAAGGGAAACATCCCTTCTATCAGTAGAGATAAAAAGGGAAAGAAATTATGTGTATACATAACCCCTAAATCAAATTCCATAAGCACACACTAACGTAAGCAGCACATATCAAACTGGCCAATATACGAATAATTTAAATATAATTAGCAAGAGGCAAATTGAGTGCCTCTGAGCGACCGACTCTTGGACATGTGACACCTGAAACAAATTCCAAATCACAACTATACAAAACAAAACAAGTAAAGGTCTAAAGATATGCTACAAGACCCATTCTTAATATGAGTTGCTTAAGCTACATGTATAAACTTTGAGACTTGCACCTTGCAGCACTGACGACTAGATGGAATAGGAAAAACATACATACATACATATATATATATATATATATATATATATATATATATATATATATATATATATATATATATATATATATATATATATATATATATATATATATATATATATATATATATATATATATATAAAAGTTTGTGAGGGTACCACCTCTGGTGCCAATGTGGGGACCCTCGGAGAAGGGTCCCCACATAGCCTCGGAGAAGAAAATAAAAAGTATTCAGAGGAGACCTTGTGGTTTCTCACTGAACACTAACATTATCTTCTCCTACCACCCCCATTCTTTTGTATGTACACATATATATTTACTTTATTTGAACTTGGTTACAAAAAAGGAGTTACATATGGGTTACAAAGATGGTTATCATTGGTTGTCGAGTTCCTCCAGCTCCTCAGATGGCGGGCAGGAACCCTGGATGCAGTGCGCATTTCCCCTCTGTATCACCACAATGAGGCGCTGGAAAAGAAAGCTTGCAGATCTTGGGTCCCTTGTTGTTTCAATGAGCCTAGAACCCAGTTCCTTCAAAAAACTGGTAGCACTTTTAGCCCAGGCACCGAGGGTCTCAGAAGCAATGGGGACAAAATTGTAGTGGTGATCCAGTTCTCTATACTTACGGGATTTGGCTGCTTCGCTGTGGGTGGCAGCGCCACCTGGTTGTGCAACACTGAGGTTAATGTAGGTGTTAGCCAGGGTTGATACGCACGTGTAGTCCCATACCAACTGCTTGCCATTCTTCCAGGGGTTCACTCTGATACCATCCGGGCGACCAATAAGAGCATCAGAGTTACGGGGCGTTAGGTAACGGGGCTCTCTTTCAGCTGGGCATCCAGCTGTGGTGAGGCTCCTCTTGATGATGTCGTTAACTTCACTGTGCCTCGAGTGCCATCCCCCTGTGCTTTGGCAGAGTAGGCCATGGTGTCCGTACCTGTCAGCCACCACCTCGCCGCAAATACACCTATATCTGGTGTGGATTGGGGCAGCAAGGCGGAGGGCCACAGCAATTCGGAGGGCATGTGGTGTGAGACGCGTGCCAGTTGCCGACATTGGGGTTGCTAACAGGAAATCCCCTGCATGTGGTGCTGCTACTGCAGTGAGGCGAGCAATGTCGTGTTGTGTTGTTGCAGCACCCAGGCACTCTGCAGCAACTTGGTCTACAATGGGGCCATCCCAGCTGGATTGCTTGTGGGCTTTTGTGGATGGTGGTTTAGGTGATTGGCCTGCACGAGAGGCCCACTCTGTGGCACAGCGTGTAAAATTGGAATCATGTACACCTGCCAGCTGATGTATATATATATATATATATATATATATATATATATATATATATATATATATATATATATATATATATATATATATATATATATATATATGTCGTACCTAGTAGCCAGAATGCACTTCTCGGCCTACTATGCAAGGCCCGATTTGCCTAATAAGCCAAGTTTTCCTGAATTAATATACTTTCTCAAATTTTTTTCTTATGAAATGATAAAGCTATAAAATTCATTATGTATGAGGTCAATTTTTTTTTATTGGAGTTAAAATTAGCGTAGATATATGACCGAACCTAACCAACCCTACCTAACCTAACCTAACCTATCTTTATAGGTTAGGTTAGGTTAGGTAGCCGAAAAAGTTAGGTTAGGTAGTCGAAAAACAATTAATTCACGAAAACTTGGCTTATTAGGCAAATCAGGCCTTGCATAGTAGGCCGAGAAGTGCGTTCTGGCGCTTAGGTACGACATATATATATATATATATATATATATATATATATATATATATATATATATATATATATATATATATATATATATATATATATATATATATATATATATATATATATATATATATATATATATATATATAATATATATATATATTAGTATATTTTGGTAGCAATCTTTCCTGTAGACATATATTATTAAATATGACCGAAAAAGTAAGATTAATAATTCTAACACGAATTTTCTCAATCTTTCGTACATTTCTTTTCACTGTTGGAGGTAAATCAAAAATCAATTCTCCAAATTTCATTTTTATTTCTAGTCTGACGCGACACGAGCGCGTTTCGTAAAACTTATTACATTTTCAAAGACTTTAGTTTACAAATACACAACTGAATAGAACTTACGCATCTCCGATTTTATATCTACATTTGAGTGAGGTGGAAGGGGTGATGTGGCATTAATCAACACAAGACAGAACAAGAGATGGCATTAATAGGGTATTAATTTCATCAACACAAGACAGAACAAGGGGTGGCATTAATAGGGTATTAATTTCATCAACACAAGACAGAACACGAAACAATGGGTATTGAATAGAAGTGTTTGTAGAAAGCCTATTGGTCCATATTTCTTGATGCTTCTATATTGGAGCGGAGTCTTGAGGTGGGTAGAATATAGTTGTGCAATAATTGGCTGTTGATTGCTGGTGTTGACTTCTTGATGTGTAGTGCCTCGCAAACGTCAAGCCGCCTGCTATCGCTGTATCTATCGATGATTTCTGTGTTGTTTACTAGGATTTCTCTGGCGATGGTTTGGTTGTGGGAAGAGATTATATGTTCCTTAATGGAGCCCTGTTGCTTATGCATCGTTAAACGCCTAGAAAGAGATGTTGTTGTCTTGCCTATATACTGGGTTTTTTGGAGCTTACAGTCCCCAAGAGGGCATTTGAAGGCATAGACGACGTTAGTCTCTTTTAAAGCGTTCTGTTTTGTGTCTGGAGAGTTTCTCATGAGTAGGCTGGCCGTTTTTCTGG